AAGCATCAGCAAGGTGTCCAATCGAAGCATTTCTTAGGTTTCGTTCACCATTCTTGGACGAAGAGATTCGCGGAAGAAATATGGCATGGAACCAGTTGTGACCAGTCCCGAGCCCGACAAATCTCCCAACAAGTCAAAATCACCCTGAGAAACGCCTCAGGGCTAGCCCATTAAAGAGAATTAAGATCGCTCCGATGTCATAACATAAAATGGTGTACACGGCGTATCTATGCATTCTATAGCACATGGAACCTGGAGACGCTCTTAAAGCTGCCAACTTGGATTTCTGTGATTGGGCGAAAATATCAAGTTTGGGGCGGAGTTGTGTACCTGGTATCTCTCAGAACCCACTTCTTCCTTCCATTCTCAGGTGTTTGACGTTCATTTATCCATTGCAAATGGTGAGTCTCGCGGGGCTTATCAAGGCAAGCTTCAACGACTAGTCTAACCACGCCCTTTCTTTCCTCTCTATCCCCCATATCCTCTCCGTTTCCGTCGCCAAAATAACACAAAAAATTCCTCAAGTCCTTTAGGACACATTTATACGTTTCAATGGCTCCAATCCTCCAGCGTTCGACTAGCTCAGGCTCGTCGGGTCAGCTCAACATCCAAGGTATGTACGGTTTTTACATCATATCTTTCTCACATATACTCATTTGTCGCGTGTATAATCTATTGTTCTTTGCCACGCTGTCACATCGTGGTAAATTGCTGCCGCTCCTTGATTGATCCAGGCGGTGTGATTGCCATCTGCGTGCTCTGTGTGATCGCTGGAATGTGTGCAATCGGAGTTTGTGCACACTATATTTGGAGAAGCCACAAAAAAGACCGGGAACGAGCGCTCTCGGCCAAGATTCTCCTGGACCGGGCCATGCAACGGGTAAGTGACGTTTTTCACGCTATATATTTTTCTCTTGGCCTGGGATCTAATACCCCGTCTTTTATGTTCAAAAGAGCGTATCGACCGTCGAACCTGCTAATGACAAGCCGCCACCGTACGACTATCACAACGATCCCCGACGGTCCCGCATTGGATAGATCAATCCCGCATTGTCATGCATGTTAGATGTGTTTGTTGAACATGTCCAAGCTTCCTCGTCTCGTTCCATTCACCCTTGAGGAGCCTCGCTCCATGTCGGTCTTTAAACAACATTCGTTCCCTGTACATTCATCTTTCATCCAACCAGTCGTTCATTCTTCCATCTCATTTATAACGACATCCAACTCCTATCTAACCTCATCAAGGACATCCTCACGTTCTCTCACGTTCTATCGACTTCCTTCTGCTCACGCAGCTCCCAATTTGCATCGTGTATCCCCTTATTTACTCTTCCCTCTTCAAACTTCCGTCGTGTAAATGTTGTACACGATGTCCTGTATTAAAGGGCTAGGCTGCCCTCGAATACCACTGTCTTTATTTGTCCTTTGTCTGGAGTAGAGCTCACAACGGCATCAAGAGTTCAATATTCCAACCAAATGCTCGAGAAAGTATGAGATTGCTACATTTCACCTTATTATCAACAAAGGTAGATTTTGAGAAACCGGTTAGTCTAGGAAGTCCTGCGCTTTCGCTCTGGCTCGTGTCACTCTTCCCGTTGGTGTAGGATCGGCCATCTCCACGTCCTCTCTTTGACTGTATGTCGGATCTTCTGCACGTCTTTCGAGCTAAAGTACACGAGTTCAGATTAGTAATGATATCATAGAATAGGGATACGCAAGGAGAAACTCACTGGACTGAAATTCATGTCCTCCCATTCCAGAACAGTACCAGCCTTTAGACCCCAAGCAACGGGATCGAAAGCGGCAGCAGGAGCAGAAGGTCGTGATCCCATCATCGGTTTCTTATTCGGCGACGCTGGATTAGATCCGGTTGACGAAAGTAAAGCGCTCGCAGGTGGTTTGCTGATGGATGTGGGTGGATGCATCCCTCCTGCAAGTGCGGACGGTGGTGGTAGACTTGCGAGGCCAGGCGTGAGACCAGATACATTCATAGGGAGTCCCGGGCCCCCAGCTAGTGCTGCGGCAGGAGGTTGTCCCCCAGCGTTTGGTTTGGATAGTGCGGACGGCGGAGGGAGACCTCCAAGTGCTTCGGGGGGTGGTAGTCCTGAAAATCCTGGTGGCATCATTCCAGGTGGTAGCATGCCTCTATAGATGGGTCAGAAAGGGATGAAAATGTGCATGAGTAATATCGTTGACTTACGGTGGGAAGGGAGGTTGGCCAGAAGTGTTACCAGTGGGAAGACCAGTTGGAGGAAAGGGTGGTAATCCTGGAGGCATGCCACCAGGAGGCAAACCACCCGGAGGACCACCTCCTGGAGGGAAGGACATTCCAATTGGGACTGGAGGAGCACCAGGAGGGCCGGTCATCGACAACGGCGGCATTCCCGGCATGCCAAGTCCAGGTAAAGAAGGTTGCATACCAGGCATGATTGGGGGAACAGCGTATGTTTGAGGAGCGGCGTGGAGAACTGGACCGGATGCGTCCGCGGTCGTATCCATCTTGTTGTCATCTTCTCGACCCATTAGTTGTTTGTGGGTTTCTATCATCCCTCGTAGCTCCTCAAATGTATATATTCGGTTCTCGTAATTGCGTTTGGCGCCAGGCTTTTGTTGCTCCCCTGTCTTGTTGCCAAAATAGCCTACAGGTAAGCCGAATTCTTGTTCCTTTTTCCGCTTGTATGCTGCTACATCTGCAGCTGGGATACCTTCCATGCCGAAGATTTCTACGTCGTATCCATTACGGCCCATAATAGCATTTTCAATACTGTGTGGATGGGTATGTCAGCGCTTATACAGAATGATAAAGCTATCAAAGGGGATGATAAAGTAGTTCATTATGATAACGTACGGTTCAGGATCAAGTTTATGCACTTGCTGGATGTGAACAGCTAATCCACCAGCAGTGTTAAGCTTCCTTGGACAATGGCCACACTTGAAGTGTTTAGCCTTTTGGTGCTGCATAAGAACTGATATCGGCCGACATTATTGTCCAAGGATTGGCCCATAGTAGTCATTTCGAAGGAATATGCAAATAGTTTGATGTTAAGCATACGTAAGGCAGTTGCAACACGCGTTTGATGGGGCAGGAGATTTACAAGTTGAGATGAAAGGAAACAAACTAATTAGCATCTCTATCCGCAACGCATTTGTGATTCTCTCACCTTTTTCATCCTCAAAGTCCCTTTCGCAATACCAGCACCACGGGCGAAGCACCTAAACGAAAGGACGCGAGTTAGAACGTGTTTAATACACCAGAAAACGGTAAAAGATCATACGTGTTTCGTTTTCTGTTTCTTCTTGACCATCTTGACTTCTGTGGAACGTGGATGTAGAGGTCAAGGTGGTCACCAGTTCTTTAGCCACTCCCTCGACACCAAGTGAGGTCAACAATTGTACAAATCTCACAGCACGGACCTTCCTGGTCCCAAAAGTCGACGAAATGAGTAGCCCAGCCCCAACGGTTATTTCTACCGTCACCGAGCTCATAGCTACTACAACGATATCGACAATTCAGCCAACCAAGACAGTTTATGACAGAGATCCTTACCTAGACTATCAACCTGCGTTTGCGTACAGCTTACCCGTCCAGTTTCTCCTGACTGGAGCCATCCTAGCCGTCTGTATCATCCTGCTCATACATCTTGTGTTCACAGTACCCTATCATTGGCCTCTCGCAAGACTTAACTATGTGCTACAAATGGCAGGAGTTTGCTCGCTATTGCTCAATTTAGGCATTACACTTAGTGTCATACTTTCGGACGTGCATGCTACTAGTCGGGAGTGGCCCTACATGCTCAACTATGTCGCTGTCGATGTTCCATTAACAAATTGGACTCAAGTTGGTGCAGGATGGTGGTATGCTCTTGATGCAGTCACCTCGGGCTTGGCACATGTGAGTTGCATCACCTTCAAATAATCGTCACCAATCCTGAGGTTTTGTCAAGGGAACTCACATACAATACTTGACGTTCCTTTATCCTTCCACGATAGAAAGGCGCTTAATATTGGTTTTGCTGGGTTAGTAAAGTATCCATCACGTTCTATGTGCTACTGACGAGGCAATCTACAGGTCCTCTGGTCCTGCTCTCCTCAATGTCGTCTTTCATATGTATGGCACCTTCAGCAGGCACAAAGGCGATTGCAGATTATATTAAGAACATTTGTAATTCAACTTTGGCCATATTATTCTGTGTGGCACTATGTATCTGGGGGTATATATCTCTCCAATATGCAAAGAAGAGTTTCTCATCATCTCTGTTACAGATTCTTTATAAATCGTGCAGAAGCATGGCGTACCGATGGCGGCACTGCTATTTTTGGTATCGGCGCGGTGATCCTCAGCTTTTGCGCAGTGGGTGTAAACTTGTATCAGGTTAGTAGGACTTATTCGGATGCTACCTCATGCCGAATCATTGACCGAACTCATGTCATAGGTCGCTAAAGTTCCGCCAGTTTGGGTTCCGCCTTTACTCTGGGGAGTTGTATTATGGCAGAGTTTCCTAGGATGGTGGTGGTACGTTGGATCTGCCGCACCAGAGCCCCCTCCTCGTGTACGCAGTAAGAAGAAGCGCAAAGGAAAAGGCCGAGGGGGAGAAGAGGGAACTCGGCTGGGAAGAGTAAAAACCCGCCTTGGCTTTGGGGATGGCGATAATCAAAAACTGAGAAGAAGGGCAAGAACAGGCGAAGCAAACCTAAATGCCTCATCCTCGCAAGAGCGTGACCATACTAGAAACTCTAGATCCTCATCACCTGATTGGAGCTCCGCTAACGAAAAGAACCAGCCTCTACCACCCAAAGCGCCACCAACAATATGGTCCTCCATGGCAAATCGTATACCAGATGTCATCTGGTCGTGGTTCCACCGACTGCGGCAAGAACATAGGAATGCTGCCGAATTACAAGCCGTTGAAAACGAACAAAAACGATTTGAAGTATATGGCGACGAACGCTCGAGAGGAGTTCCGGGAAGTGGCTGGGGCCTAGGAAGTTATGCTCTACGAGCAGATCCGGCAAACGAAGAATACGATCGCCACGATAGGTCAAGGAGCAATAGACTTCCGGATGAGACAGACGACAATGACATCGAGCTACGAAACATGGGAGACTCTGACGACCGTGAAAACCGTGCACAGCTAGTATGGGATGAGGAGGAGGAAAGAAGAAGATCTAGACCCAGAAATAAACCTACGAGACCTGAATTACAACGGCTTAGCACCCCTGGCACCTCATGGAGTTGGAAAGGACCGTTCCAAAAATGGAGGCTAAGAGACGCAAGCACTTATTGAGATCGGGTTCATGTAACAGTTCCCTTTTTCGTGCTCATATATTTTATGCCATTTGCTCTTGAAATGTACATCATAATACTTCTCAATATATTGTATCAAAGGCAACCTAGCGCAATACAGACCAACTTACACCTCCCCCATTCCGAGCCAAATGGTAAGTGTCGCTTTACCATGAAATAAAATAATAAAACAAAGAGGAAGCAAATATTTTCACCACCATCTCAGTACTCTCTTATCAGACAAATCCCCCATATCTAGATATCCCTAGAAGATTTCGTACTGATATCTAGTGCTCTATTTAGCTCATTTTTTCCGTCTTCAAAACACTCACTGATCAAACGGTCACCGTCGAACTCAAAAATGACTTGTGCATCACGGGAGTGTTGAAGAGTGTTGATCAGTGAGCTTTCTTTCATCAATGAGATTACCAACCCTGACTCTACCTCTTATTTAATGACACTTCGTTTGAATTATTACCTTATGTATTTCATCCTTATTACTGCATTGACGACTCCAATCCGCAAATACGCTTTGTGACCTCTACTCGACAAACGACTTCTCAAGATACCTGAATATTAGGTTGGACTCAATCAGAGTACAGAATGCCGATCAACATCCCCATATGGTGTGCTATATTCCTTTTTCTTACCAAGCCTTCAGCAGAGTCACATCGGTCTTCTCATGACATTGGAGATCACTCTCACTAATTACGTATACTTATACATAGATGGCAGTCAAAAATTGCTTCATTCGTGGCTCAGTTATACGCTACGTTCAGCTACCGGCTTCTGCGATGGACACTCAGTTGTTGGAAGATGCGACACGACGGGGTATGCCATTTATCTTACCTCCAAGTTCTAGTTTAACCATTCTACAGAGTCAGGGAAGAAGATATGATGCATCTTGTTGCAATGTATTAAAGAATAATATAACAACTTGAAACGCGATAATACAATGTCCAAGTTGGACACCGAGTGATCGCCCTTTGACAGAAAATGGAGAATTCAAGAAAATTCACGACGTCTCTGTAAAGATCCACGATTGATAAGCCGATAAACTAGTCCTCTTCTGCCTTCAGACGCTTAATGGGGCGAGAACCTGTTTCGCATGAGCAGCGAATTGGTGGGCATAGGGGAAATATTACCATCACTAGCAGGTGTGAATTCATTGGCACTAGCATTGAGACGAGCACGGCCGCGTGCAAATATGGAGTCGAGGCTCTCTACTAATCGCGTCGGTCAAGAGACTGTGAGCGATAATACACTTACCCTGCTCCTCTTTAATACCAGTATTGTCCAACTTAGGATTTGATTCCTCTGTCTTCACATTTCTGACCTGGTCAAACTGTTGCACAGTTTCGTTTACGCCTTTCCCTTTCTCGATAGATCTCAAATCCGGCTTGACGTCAAGTTTTTCCGGTTTAACTTGACGCCCATCTTTAT